GGCTTTGCCGTGCTGCCTTGCACACACACATCCAGCTTCCCGACACGTGGCCTCCGCAGTCTGAGCCCCTGCCTGTCCTCCATATTGGTACGGAGGCCCTTTGGGGCTGCCATCACCCTGGTGCAGTGCCCTGTCCCTGCCGCCATGTGGATCAGCCCAGGGTCTCCTGGGATGCTGCGTGCCACCTCCTTCCCTCTTGGGATCACAAGGTAAAGCCTCCAGGCGGTGGCAGGATTTGAACACTGGTCACTGGATGGATTGGAGTGGCTGGGGGACAGTAGGCGGGGCTGGGGCCAGGAGATGTGCCCTGAGGTGAAGCCAGAACTGTGTGGCTGGGGGCCAGTCGCGTAACTTACAGGGAGTGTAGGAACAGAATGTTTTTTCTTGAGCATCGTTGGGCCCACATTCTGTCTCATTTACAGGTGGAGAGACCCAGGCTCAGAGATGGAGGCAGATGCTGGGGGGAAGCAGAGCCGGGGTTCAGACTCGCATCCCTCTGCCTCCTTCCCCGTGAGCTCTAGCCTGGGCTGGGTGAGTGGAGCGCACATGAACTCCCTGCATGACCCTGGGCCTCAGTTTCCTTATCTGTGCACCCAGAGGTTTGGGCTGAGTGAACTCTGGTCCTTTCAGCTTCCACTTTGGGAGATTCTGAGTGTTATTTCCCCTGTGCAATAGAAACCCCACCTTCCCAGCTGTGTGATCTTGGGCAATGGATTTGGAGTTCAGCTTCCTCATCAGCAACGGAGATAATAATTCTACCTAGAGGTTCCTGTGAAACTTCTGTAAATGTGCCTAAGAGGGATGCCCGACGCATCATTGAGCAGTGGGTCCTGTTAGCTGCTCTGTTAGTATTATCATCCTCTTCCTTGCCGTCATGATCTCTCCTGTCTGCTTCAGAGGCTGCTCTGAGCATCGTGGAGTGAGAGCTCTTGGAGGAGCTGACGTGCTGTGAGCCTGTTGCGGGAGGGTGTCTGCAGGCGGGGGCCAGAGGGCGGGTAGCAGTCCTCCATGGTCAGGCACCAGCCAGATCTGGGGCTAGGGCCTGAGCACTTTTTGGAGGCGGAGAAGTTGGGGGGTGGTCCCTTCCTGTCCCTGGCATCTGCCTGACTCTTTGGGTGACAGCCATGCATGATGAAATGGCCCAGGGAGATGGCGTCCTAAGGGCTGGCTTCCTCAAGCCGGAGCTCAACGAGGGAAAACAATTGAAGAGGCTGCGCAGGCTTGGGAACAAGATGACATCTGAGCTGAGCCTGTAGAATGAATAGGATTTCAGGAGGCTGAGGAGGGAGGGGAAGGGGAATTGAGTTACCTCTGAGCCTGTTTCCTCATCTGCAAAATGAGGGTGATCGTTGGGGCTGGGTAAGTGATATTGAAACGTTAAGTGTGTCTGAATGCTCACAGGGTGAACACCACTGTGTGGTGTGGCCAATAACGTTCCCTCCTCTTCCTTCCCTAACACCTTAAGAGAGAATGTGGAAGTGTTATGAACTATTGGGTCATGGTGGGCAGTGGAGGCTGGGAGTGGTTCAGTAGTCTTGGCCCTGGCTGGAGGTGTCTCTGTGCTCTGAGCCTTCATTTTCTGACCTGTAAGATGGGCAGGGGGTTTCTCTGTAGCTTCACAGTCCGCTGTGTGAACTGCTTTGCTCAGTGATGGGCTGGGCCATGGGCATGAGAATTGGGACAGTAAAAGTTTAAGGGACATGACACCCGCTAACTCCTGACCCATAGTAGGTATGTCCCCTTCTCAGTGTCAACTGGCTACTTCCTGGCCTGCCTGCTGCTCATCTTTGCTTATGCTGGGCCCTCTGACTGTAACACCTGTCCTGCCGAAAGCTTACTCCTGTGGGCAGGTCCAGGTCAGGGGAGGAGACTGCCTGGGAAACAGGTGCTGACATTTTAGAACCCACAAGCTGTGTGCCTTTCCCCACCTGTCTGAGTTGCAGTGAGTGTGGGGCATCTGGGGTACCCTAAGGACATCGTCCAGGTCTTTCTGCCCTAGGCAGCCAGAGCAGCTGAAGGGCAAAGCTTTCGTGCACTATCAACCTCAGAGCTAGCAGAGCCAGGTTTTCCCACCGTGCCTGGGAGGCACATCAGCATGGGCAGTGGATTTGGTCTGTCAAGCCAGCTGCTATCAACATGCCCGGCTCTGCCCTGGGTCTTCTGGGAGCAGGCGAGCCGACTGCCCACCCAGCCCGGCTTTGGAAATAAGAGGCCCATGAAATCATTTGTGTAATTCATCAGCTGGGGTGCAGCTTAGAAACCCTAGTGAGGCATGGGGCCACTCAAAGTGCCATCTGCAGGGGCACTTGTTAGAAATGTGGCGTGTCCGCCCCACCCCAGGCCTGCTGAATCGGGTCTGCACATGAACAAGATCCCCGGGTGAGTCCATGCACATCACAGTTGGAGACTTGCTGCTTTAGAGCGTGGGCCAGGCTCAGGTTCCATTCCTGCTTATTAGCTGTGTGACCTCAGAGTGGTTACCTCACCTCGCCAGGCCTGTTTTCTCATCTGCAAAATTGGTTTTGGGGGCAAGTCTTTATTCAAAATGGTTAGTAACGCCCGTGAAAGCTGGTGAGACGGGTGTGCAGGGCTCTGAGCCCAGGGCGTGGGACTGCTCGGCCATCAGTGGCTGCTTCTGTTGCTCGTGCATCTGACGTCCAAAGACAAGGCTTGTGTTCTCCCTCTGGGCTGACTGGGGGCAGGTTGCTTTCCTTCTCTGGGCCTCGTTTTCTCCATCTATCCAATGGGTCTGCTGGCCCTTGCCCCACCTTCCCCATGAAAAGGCTACTTAAAAGAGAAGTGGGAGAGTGCCAGGCTTCATCCCCAGAGCTGGGAAATGGGGGTGTGTGATGCCCCTGGTGCCTGCAGCTTTACTCCCACTGCCCCCTTCCTGCTGCTCCCGCTTTTGCCAGTAAGACGCAGGAGTGAGGCCAGCTGCAGCCAGTGCCACCCCTGGGCCCTCCCTTGCAACTGTGCTGCCTAGCAGCTTGGAATCAAGTCCCCCACCCTCCTCAGAGCATGTGGCCAGGAGAGATGATTCAGCTTGGGACGCGTGCTCTGAGCCTTGGCCTCTCTTGAGGGGAGCCCCAGATGCCCCATAGTGCTGGGGGAGAGCAGGAGAGTGGCCTGTGAACTTCCACCTGGATTCCTGTCCCCCACCTTGGGCCAGCATCTGGACTCCTGGCTTTGCCCCTGATGTACTGGGTGGCCCTGGGCAAATTCCCTGTATACTCTGGGCCTCAGTTTCCCTCTTTGTACAATGAGGGTGTTCAGCAAGATGGTCCCACCTGGGTTAGACCTTTAAGTTCTCGCTCTGCCCCTTAGCTTCCTCTGTGTCCTTCATCCCCAGCAGGAGCCCAGCCCCAGCCGGGCTGCCCAGTAAGTCCTGGGCCCTGCAGCCCACAGCAGATCTGGGCCAGGCCACCAATGCCAGTGGCTGGTGAAGAGGACAGGGAGCTTGGGAGTGTGTGTGTCCAGGAGCCCTGGCCAGGGCCATCTCGTCTCGTGTGGGAGAGGGGAGGAATTTTCCTCTGTGTGTGCAAACAGTATCCGTTTTCTCTTGTTTCTAAAAGCTGGTGACGTAACTCACTCTTGATCCATTCCTCCCCTCTGGCCTATTTTTAGCCGGCCCCGACAGCATTCTAAAAGGCTTCCAGACTTGCCTGCTCTGAGGCCATGTAGGGAGCTTGGTATGGGGTGAGGAAAGACAGAAGCTGTCTATATGTCCCAGGTCAGAGGGAGGGAAGGAACCTGTCCTGGCTTCCCTGGGGGAGTAGGGGGACCCCAGTGGGGAGCCAGGCTAGGGCTCTGAGGGACCCAGGTCTGCAGGAGCCTGGCAGGCTTATGGGTGTTCCGTCTGAAGCCTCAGCCTGGCTTTGGTCCCCGCTCCCCCTGTCCTCGCCCTGACCTCAGGTACCTGACCCTGTGCCTTGCTTCCCTCACCTATAGCATGGGATAGTGGTGGCACTGTGCAGGAGGGTCATTACGAGGATTGAGCGATGCCATGCAGAATGGTGCCTAGCACAAAGTAAGCCCATGGTTAGGCTGAGCCAGTATTGTTGTGGTGATCATAACTATTATCCTACCCTACTTCTAGTTAATTTGGGGAATGCTGTGAGCCCCCTGTGCCTTCTGCCCTCTGTCCTTCCTGTCCAGCTTCACCAACACCCGCATGAATGAGATGAAATGCATAAAGCCCCTGGAACAAGGCCTAGCACATAATAAGTGCTCCATAAGTAAGAGCAGTATTCATTGCTCTCTGTTTCAATGTGATGAAACAGACCTGGGTTTGAATTCCAGCCCCAGCCATTAACTAGCTATGTGTCTCTGGGGAAGACATTTAACCTCTCTGAGCCTCAGTTTCCTCATCTGTAAGAGAGAGATAGTATTAGTATGTAGGAAATTTCTGGTTAGGGTATGCTGTAGGACCCGTAGGCTCCAGGACGGCAGAGGTTGCACAGTAAAAGTTTGTTTCTTGTGGGGGCAAAGGAGCCTGAGTGTGGTGCTGGCTGCAGCCTGGCTCCTGGGCGCCAGCCTCAGCACCGTGTAGTCGGCAATGGCAGGAGCCCTTTACGGTTTGTGTGAAGGAGGATGGCCCTCCCTCCTGCCATCGTCCATGGTGCTGTGCTCATGCCTGGAAGCAGCACTTACCACCGCCACCTGCTGTTACAGTTAACTGTCAACCTGGCTGTCCTCCATCGGCAATGGCAGGAGCCCTTTACGGTTTGTGTGAAGGAGGATGGCCCTCCCTCCTGCCATCGTCCATGGTGCTGTGCTCATGCCTGGAAGCAGCACTTACCACCGCCACCTGCTGTTACAGTTAACTGTCAACCTGGCTGTCCTCCACCCCCACCCCACCTTAGACTGGGAGCTCCTAGAGGGCAAACAGTGATGGGCTCTTCCTGCCCCTTCCCTGCCCAGTCTAGGGACAGGCATTGTGTCGGAGGGCCGGATTGGCATGGGAAGGCCACCCTCTGACTACCCGTTCTTGGCTTTTGCAGGTGGGAGGAGGAGCTTGCCAAGCGCATGAACCTGCAGACCATGGTGGACACGCTACAGGAGGTAAGAGCCCTCTGAGGTCCTGACCAGAAGGGTTTTGCTGGTAAACCGTGTGGCCAAGGGTACAGTCTTCACAGGGCAAAGCCAGGGACAGTTCCCAGCACAGTCCTACTCTGTGTCAGCTCCTCAGCTTCTTCTTGATGGAGCCAGGAGGCCTTCAGAGCTGGGAAGGGAGCAGCACGGTGTTGCAGAAAAGCTCAGGCACAGGAATTGGGAAGCCTGAGTCCACATCTGGGCACTGCCTTTATACTTGCTGGGTGATCTTGGGCTCATGGCTCTCCTCTCCCACCTCTTTCTCTCCACCTGAGGCTTGGGCTAGGTAGTCTCTAAGCCCCTTGCCCCCCTCCCCCCCCGCTTGCAGGAACTATTTGGGGGCTGAATGCCTTGGAGAGGGCAGGTGGGCATGTGCCCGGTGGGCTTCCGGGCTTAGCAGGCTCTCTGTGACAGGTATGAGAACGTTCCCTGCCTGATCTGGCTCCATGTGTTCTGCGCTCTGCTACTCACCTGCCTGCAGTATGCCCCGGGCAGCAAACTTCATGTCTTCAGCCTCTGTTTTACTCTCAGGAAAATGGGCACAAAAGTAGCAACCCCAAGAGAAGGCATGGTTCTTCCAGTTTTAATTCCTTTGTGATCTTTAAAGCATCAATCTTCTAAGAACATTAGAGACGGATTAAAATGTCAGTATGTAGAAAGAAAAGAGTGAATGTTCCCCCTCCCTTTCATAACAGAAGCTCTTCTTATTTTATAAACATAACAGGTTCATGGTCAAATATTTGGAAAATTCAGAAGAGCACAGAGAAGAAAATAAAACTTACTTCCAGTTCTACCCCTCTACGGTTGATAAACTTGTGTGCCACCTTCTAGTCTTTTCTGTGCAAACATACCTATATTCTCGATGTGGACACTCAGTTAGGTGGACATGTGATGTTGCCATTTTTGTGATCAGAGGTGGTCAGCTATCAGCAATTTCCCATGGATCGACCTAATACTTTAACCTATGGGGATCATTTGTTACATTAAACTGCTCTTTTTCCTACAATAAATGTACCTTTGAGAAGTGTTTTCAGCTGAGCCTTGCAGTGAGCAGGGCTCAGCGGGAAGCCAGGCTAGGATGAGGTCCTTGGCACCCCTTCCCTGACACTCAGGTGCCCAGCCTGGTTAGATGTCAGGTGTCCAGGGATCTAGTCCCTTCTACCTATCAGGGTGCCTGGCCCCCCTAAACGCTTCCCCATCTCCATCCTCTGTAGGCTGCGCAGGAGGCCGAAGCCATTCAGGAGGAGATGAACGAGAAGATCGAGAGACTCAAGGCTGAGCTGGTGGTGTTTAAGGGGCTCATGAGTGATGTAAGTGCTACCAGCTGCTGACCTCAGGCATCCTGATCTCCCCCCAACACCCATCATGCAAGATGCTTCATTCACTCCGAGGCTCCAGAGCTCGGCTTCTAGTTAGAGTCCTGGCTGGCTGCGTTTGACCCGTGAGGGTGACGGATGCATCGCAGACCAGGCGCCCTCCTCCCATCCCCTCCCCACTTCCGCTTCCCTTGGTCTGAGTAGAGATGCATTAATCTGCCGCTTAACCCATCCCGCCCTCCTCAGGGCTCCTCTGATGCCTGTGTGTTTGCTCCACTCCTTCCCAGCTCGCCTTGAAGAGGGCGGGTGGTAGCCGTAGCCCCTGTGTTGGGGCACCGTGTGGAGCCCATGGCAGGCTGAGGGAACCCCCAGGTCTGGTCTTTGTCAGCCTGAGAGGCTCCCCAGGCCAGCAGCCTTGAGCAGGGTTGCTTTATGAAGTTGGGAAAGACCAATGTGTGTGTCCTTCTGACAGCTGGAGCCCCTCTGAGTAACTGTGGGTGGGGGAAGGTGTTGGCAGCAAAGGCCTCCTTCCTGCTGGGGACCCAGGTTTCCTGCCACCTTCGAGCGGTGGGCTGTGTGTGGGGAGAGCTGCCAGGAAGGAGGAGGAGCCCAAACATGGGTGACAGCCTGATATGTGAAGCTGGCTGAGGCTGGAGGAAGCTCCAGGGGCTCCAGGGGGAAGCCACCTGGCTTCCCCTCACTGGGGTCAAGGGGACCCCTCACCCTAGGTGACCCTGCTGTCAGCTGAGGGAGGAATTCCGGAGAGAGCGCCGCCTTGGAAGGCCCCTGGGTCAGGGCAGGTGGGGCGTGAGGGGTGGGGAAGAAAGGAAGGCTTGCCAGTAGGCCTTGTCTTTTTTATCTTTGCTCTAAAAACATTAACACTGACATGTCTGCCAAGAAGAGGCCTTCCAGCCCTTAGGGAGACTGCAAACACAGCTGCGTGTTGTCCACTCGGCACCAAAGCCTTTAGGTCCCGTGGCCCCTCCACCCCCTTCCCCAGCTGGAGCAGCACCGGCCAGCCCTTCAGGCCCAGGAAAAGCTCAAGGCTCCCCTCATATTCGGGGGCCCACCCCTCTGCTCAGCAGGAGCCCGGGAGCGACTCCCCTGGCCCCTGGCTAGCTCCATCCCCTGCTCACGTAACCCCCTGCTGTCCTCCCTGCAGCCCATGACAGACCTGGACACAAAGATCCAAGAAAAGGCCATGAAGGTGGACATGGACATCTGCCGCCGAATCGATATCACTGCCAAGCTGTGCGATGTCGCACAGCAGCGGAACTCGGAAGACGTGTCCAAGATCTTCCAGGTGAATAGGGCCACCCTGCTCACCAGCCACCACTCCCACCTGCCACTGCCACCCTCCCGGAGCGGCCTCCAACCCTGCCTGGCCAACCCCTGTTTCCCTCACATCTTGCCCACTCCCTGTTCCCCAGAGATAGGGTTTACCCAACTCACCAGGGAAACCGAATCAGGGCTCGCAGACTCTTAGGTTCATCTGACTCCATCGTCAGGGCTGACGGCTTCAGACCCGAGGGGGTCATGTGATGGGCTCAAGGAAGGAAATGGCAGAGCTGGGACTAGAACTCAGGTCTCCTGACCCTCCAGGGCTCAGTCCACCAGCTGGCCCACTCTGGGTCCACTGCCCCACTTCCTGCCTCCGTGTACCAGAACTAGGCACCGTCACCAAGGTCGGGGAGAGCCAGCCAGGCTGTGGGAGCACTGGGTGAGCCGGCCTGAGCCTTGGCAGATGAGCTCAGAATTCCGAAAGAGTTGCTGTCAGCCTCTCACTATTCTTCATTCCCCTGAAGAGTCTCTCAATTCCCAACCCCCCCCAGTGTGCGAGTGTCCTGAGAAGGCAATGGGTCAGCACTGGCCGCTGTTCTCTGGAGAGAGCTTGGGGACTTGTCCGGCTGCCTGAAGGGCACATGTCATTCTCTGAAGGCTGCTTCTTGAATTTGGGGTTGTGGTTTGGCTTTTGCTTGAGCCCAGGGCAATACAGTGTGTTGTTGCTGTAAGCGTGTGACTTTGGGTATAGCTGGCTAAGAGCTGGGCTTCCCTGGAGCCCTTTGTCCACCTCTGTGGAAAGCACTGGGGACCATTTCAGCCTCTGTCTGGTTTGCTCATGTCTTGCCTGCTTGAAGTGGAGGGAGCCTGGTGACCTTGGGCCACCTGCCTGTCGCCTTTGCATGTGAGCAGCTAGGCCTCTGTGAGGGGTTCTCCTTCTCTCTGGCTGGCCCGGAGACATTTCAGGTGACTCTGGCCCCAGTCTGGCCTGCTGCTTCCCCCAAATCATGAGGCTCCTTCTAGCGAGTTGAGCCAGTCCAGCCACCAGGGCAGGAAAGGGTCCAGGCTGTCTGTGTCGTCCACCTGCATGTCGCCCCCATCATGCTTCCTGCTAACACTGCCTGCTTCTTAGAGGAGCTGTTCATCTTTCCTGGCAGTGGCTGGCCCCAGCCACACTCCATCCATTCTATGGGAGGCCGGCTCCTTTCCCAGACCACCCCACCGTCTGTCCCAGAAGAACCTCCCAGTTAACCTTGATCTCTTCCTTTCTGGGTCAGGTGGTCCCCAAAAAGAAAGAGCGTAAGGTGGCTCCAGACGATGACATCTCCGAGCAGGATGGGGAAGTGAACCGGTTCTCTGATGACGAAGTGGGCTCCATGAATATAACAGACGAGATGAAACGCATGTTTAACCAGCTGTGAGTACCTCTGCTGCCCAGCACAGGGGGGACCTCTCCATTCCCTCCCCAGACGGCTAGGGCAGGGGTGACGAACTGGCGGTTGGAGCTGAAAGTAGCCCACAGATGTGTTTTGTTTGACCGGCATTGGGCTCTGAAAGGATTTGGATTCATTCTCAACATATACAATATGGGGAGTTTCACATTTTTAGAAAGAGACAAATGGTAGCTGTGGTCTTACTTGTGTGCTAGTCTTGATCAAGCCTTAGACGTGCTCTCACTAGTTGTCCATGTGGTGGGGTGGCTGAGCTGATCCACACGCTGGGGCCCGCCATGCTGGTGGGGGGAGGGCTCCTCCATCTGCACGGTGCTCTATGAGGTCATTTCACTGACTTCGATCAATGTAGGAGGTAGGTTTAACATTCCCCTTTTGTAGATGAGGATACTGAGGCTCAGAGAGGGGAAACAACTTGGTGGAGGGCACTCCACTAAGATGTGGCAGAGCTGGAATCAGAGCTAGGCTTGTCTGCCTGTGTTTTTTTACTAGGAGGGGCTGCCTGGCTTCGAGGCAGAGTCTAGTGCAGGATATGGGCAATGGTGGGCTGGAGCTGGCTGTACCAGCTCGTGAAAGCTGACTGTAAGCATGTCTGCTCACCCCAGTTCAGTGATGGCACACTGGCAGCTTAAACTCTGCCATGGTGGGAAATTGGCATGAGCTACCAATCAGGGCTGACCTCCCCTGCCCCTAAAGAAAGCTGGTTTCCTAGAACCTCACCCCTGCAGCCGGGATGCTCTGTGGCCTTGGCCTAGCCAGTGCCATATTCTCAGTCCCGATCCATCTTTAAGGCTAATCCACTGAGTGTCCTAAAGTGGGGCTGGGGAGGGGCAGAGCCAGCACGGGACAACTGGCCAGAGGGCCTGGAGTCAAAGGGTGGGGCTGGGACTGGATCTCTGGGGTCCACCTTTCCCCACTGGCCGGCTTTCACCTGCTCTCTCTGGAATCCCTCACAGTTGGGCACCTGAGACCTGAGAACTCATATTTTCCCCAGGTCTCCAATCCCCCTACCTCCCTGGCATCAGAGTTTCAAGGCCGAGCAGGCTTTCTGGCCTGATGTCTGTGCCCAGAGTCCTGGGTTTCCAATAGCAGGGCCGGGTTTGGGCCCTGGGCTCTAAGGACCATCACAAAGCCTTGCAGAACCTCTCCCGAGAGGGAACGCTCCTTTCAGCAGATGCCTCTGATGCAGACTCACTTCAGAAGCTGAGGCTTGGGCCTCTCCTAATGCTTCCTCAGAGCTCTGGAGCTGCCTTAGCGTTACAAGTTGCAAGATCACTCCACCAAGCCCCTTCCAAGTGCAAATGCAGAAATCGAGGCCCCCAGAGGGGTGAGTGAGGAGTTGGAACAGAGCTGGGCCCCCAGCTCTCAGTCCATCTCTGTCTCTAACCAGCTGTCTTCATGCTTGGAAGAAATGTCCCCCCTCTGCCCTCGAGCCTCACCTTCCCCACCCTGGCCACTTTGCAGCTGGGCCAGGTGATTTGTAAGGGAGATGAGAGTTGGACTGGGCAGGGCTGGCTCTGCCTGCACTACCCTATGCTTGCCGTTCCCTTGAAACAGAACTGAGAAGGGGCTGTGCTTTGTGGGTTTGCTGTTGGAGGGTGGTAAGGAGACTCCTTAGACTCTTGATTTAACTTCTGACACCGCTTTCCCCCAAAGCTCTGTTGCTGACAAGGGGAGCTTTGGAAGAGAACCCTTGGTTGGGTTTAGGTTTTCTGAAGGTTGCTTTGAGCATCCTGAGCCTCAGAGATTGTACGCCCCACAGACCCAGGCTGGTTCGCTTGCATTAAAGGGCTTCTTTGAAGAAATCGTCCCTGTTTTCATAAAGTCTCCAAGGATTCATTAGGCTGCTCAGGAATGGGGTGAGCAGCAAGACAGCCCCGATAGCTGAGTCTGGGGGCTCCAGCAGCAGTGCTCCTATGTGGAGCAAGGAACTTTCAAATGCTGCAAAAATGGGCAGCAGAGTGTTGGCAGTTCAGATCTCGGCTCAGTACCCAGTTAGATTTATCTGGTTGTAAAGTTGCCTAAGTTAAAATTTAAAAATCCTCTGATCACCCCTCCATCCTTGCAGTTCTAGCAAAGGCCATGCTGACCCCACCCTAGGCAGGGCACTGGCCCCCTCCCACTGACATCTCCCCCACTGTGGGCTGAGACCCAAGCAGGCTGCCCCCCAGCAGTGCCACTGAAGTCTTTGAATAGTGTACCCGTGTCAGTGCTGTTTTGTTTTGATCAAAATCTGTTCCTTGGGCTTCGGACCAAGGAAAAGGGGAAGAATTTGCTACTTCCTGTGCACTGTGGCCAGCCCCGCTCCTCCAGCCCGCCCTCCAGATCTGTGGGGAGTGCAGACCCTCTTCAGACCCCTTTCTCAAGTCCATCTTCCTGTCCTTTCTGGCTTTCCATGCCTTAGCCAGGGTGTCCTTCAGTTCCCAGACACTGGGGAGGAAGTGAAGTCAGCAGTCGGGTATGCGGCGTGGTGACGGTGGGCCCCGGGGGCTCCTCTGGAGCTCCTCCAGGCCGGCAGCCCCGCCCCCTGCAGCCCTGGCCCCAGCTCTAGTCCCTGGACTCAGGGAGCCACCTTCTGGTGCTGGCACGGACCGCTCTTTGGTGGGAAACCTGGCTCCAACGGTGCTCTAGGTAGCTTTTTACCAGAAATTCTTGGGCCCTGCCCAGCAGCCCCCAGCCTGGTCCATTGTGGGAAGTTTGGGAGCACTGCCCCGGAGGACCCTAGAAGGCATTGAGGGAGGGTGTGTAGGCAATGGGGAGAGCCCTAGGATGCAAACCTGGGGACTTGGGAATCAGTCCTCCTCTGTGGATGTTTAACTGGCTCAGGTGCTCTGACTCCTGCAAGCATCAGCCTTCCCATCCGAAAAATGGACATGTTGGGCTGAGTGATTCCTAAGGTTCCTTCCAGTTGGGGTAACTGGTGCATCTCCAGATACCCCTCAGTCCTAGGCAGACCCATATGGCTGGTCACCCTACTCCAGTTCTCGTGAATAAGGAAGCCCTGAAATTACTCAGGCTTTGAATTCAAACCTAATTTCCAGCATGTATCGGTCTAGAAGTACACCTAATTCCTCTGAGCCTCTGTTTCCTCACCTGTAAAATGGGAATAATAGTCATGCTCACCTTATAGGATTGTTGTGAGGATGGGATGAATTGCATTTTAATATGTGCTCAGTGGCCAGTTCCATGCCCAGCACATAATAGGTGCCTGTGATGTTTGATGAGAGGAAAAAGCTGTAGGAAGTAGAAACATCTGGCTTTCAGCCCCAGTTGCTGTTACAGGCTACAAGTGTGACTTTGGACAAGTGAATTATTCTTTCTGAACTGTGATTCCCTCATCTGTAAAATGGGAATAAATAATGTTACCCTTTCTGAGTTATGGAAAAGGTTATATAAGTGCCCTTGCTAAAGTAGGGGCCAAGAAATGAACTGTTGAATAAAAATTACAAGTTTGGACTTGGGAGGAAAATATCTTTCATCTCCATTAATTGAAGCCTGGTGTCTTAAAAAAGATGCATTTTAAATTGCATAAATAGTGTGTAAGTACATTTTGCATTTTAAGAGATAAACTCCACTGATAAGGCCCATGTCCCCTTTGGCCACCTCCCCCGTCTTTTTTGGCAGGCCACCTTATGGGAGCATGCCCGCTGGGGCAGCGCCCCTGTTTCTCTCCCATCTGGGCCCCTGGAGCCTGGCTTCTGTTCACTTGTGCCGTACGGTGTCATCCCCACAGGCGGGAGACCTTTGATTTTGATGACGACTGTGACAGCCTGACCTGGGAGGAGAATGAAGACACGCTGCTGCTCTGGGAGGACTTCACCAACTGCAATCCCACCATCGACCTACAGGGAGAGGTGAGCCCAGGGCCCCGCTTCCCAGAGGCTGGGGCATGGGGAACGGGGGCACTGCCTTTCAAGGATCTCTCTTCCCATTTTTTCCCAGCAGCCCCCGTTGCCCAGCTAAATTGTCCCCTTTGTTTTGTTTCCTCAGCAAGAGGAAAACTTGGGCAACTTGATCCATGAGACTGAATCCTTCTTCAAGACGAGAGACAAGGAGTACCAGGAGACGATAGGCCAGATAGAGGTGAGGGCTTGGGTGCTAGAGCCCCCAGAGAAGCTCTGTGCAATGGTCGAGACCCCTGGGCAGGGGCTGGTAGAGTGGGACAGGCACAAGATCGGGGCTCGGAAGTCCTACTGACCTTGCCTGGCAGAGAGCAAGTCATACCCCTCATAGGGCCTCAGTTTCCTCATCTGTAAAATGGGGGTAGTGACCCCTATCTGTCCCAGAGTTTTTTTAAGTTATTCAACCAGGATGGTGATCCCAAAATAACAAAGCTGACATTTGAGTGACATGGACTGACACTAGGCACTGAGTAAGCCCTTTACAAGTACAGCCCCCTAGTATCTGCATACTCTCTGTATGTGCCTAGAGGTACCTGGGCGCCTCTGCCCTCTACAGTAGGGACTGTGCACCCCGTTTTACAGAGGAGAGGATAAGGTAAAGAGAGACTGAGTGAGTTACCCAAGGCCTCCAGCCAGGAACCAGCCTCCAAGCCCAGCTCCTCTGCCCCAGAGCCTGGGCACTGGCCACTCTGGCAATGAGAGTTGTTGCCGGTGTTGTGCTGGAGAAAGAAAGGCCGGGGTCTCCTTCGCCAGGGGCTGTATCATTTGGTGGAGGAGAAGGGTCGTAACCATGAGAGACTAGTCTGGTCCACATAAGGGAATGCAGAGGTGTGACGGGGTGGAGTTGCAGACCAGGCCAGGCTCGGGGAGGCTGCCCTATGGCTGTTAAGCAACCATTCCCACTTTGGCAGAAGCTGGTCTAGAGGCCTGCAAAGAGCAGAGGAGGGAGGGCTCCCAGGGCATGGTGTCCAGGGGTGGCTTTAATGCTGCCATCATGGAGGAACCTGCTTCCGGGGTGTCTTGGCCTCACCTTTATCCACGCTGGTTCCTCTCAGCTGGAGCTGGCCACGGCCAAGAGCGACATGAACCGACATCTGCACGAGTACATGGAGATGTGCAGCATGAAACGGGGCCTGGACGTGCAGATGGAGACCTGCCGCCGGCTCATCAAAGGCTCAGCAGACAGGTACCTGCCCCAGTTCTCCCCAGGCATCAGTGGTTGGGTCCTTGGGAGGATCTGTGGGGCTGCAGCTTACAGCCTGGCCCATTTCACCTGCCCATTGACCATCCACCCACTCACCTGTGCACACATGCTAGGTGACTTCCATACCTAATCCCATGTGACTCCCTCAACAGCCCTGGCCCCACTGATGCCACAGCTACTTGTCAAAGGCTTGCTTAGTGCAAGGCCATGGGCATAGAGTGGTGAGCAGAACAGTCACAGCCCCCTGCCCCATGGAGCTTATGCCCACTTTCTGCTGAAATGGCAGGTGAAGGAGGTGGCCAGGGCACTCCCACCCACTGTGCTGGTGGGGCTCACATTTGTCCACAGGAAGCTTTCCAGTCTTCCAGCCCAGGGCCACCCGGGTCTGTAACCCACGAGACCGACATGCATCCGACCCTTTTCTGCTGGGGGATCCCAAACAAAGGCAGAGCCCCTGACTTCAAGGAACATTCAGCCTTTAGGGGAGACAGACATGTTAATGATACAATGCAATGATACATGTAGAATGCCTGGCGCAACGCATCGATATGGTCACTGTAGTTGTTTCTCTTATTATGACTATATTCCTGTAGGCTGTGGTTCAGGCTGGAAAAGAGGAAGGAGTAGCTCTTTGGGAACCTAGGCTTAGTGTGTTATACCTAAGCTCATCGAATCCCCCAGAACCCACTGTTGTTATATCTGTTGAGATGGAGAAGAATACACCTAGAAAAGTTAAATAACTTGCCCAAGGCCTCCCCAGCTCATCAGTGATAGGGTTGGAATTCGATCCCATACTATTAACCACTATCTTGTGTGGTCTCCCTTTGAACTCTGAGCTAATTGGGGTTTACTGAGCACCTGCTATGTGCCCAAATCGGTGTTAGGCAGTTAGAGGTTAAGAACTGAGCTCAATCCATGGTTCCTGCTTCCAAGGAGCTCTCAGCACCCAGAGCAATTAGTGGCTGGTGTAAGGGGTCCCAGGAGGCCTCTCGAGAGCCACGTTCAACTCGTGTGAATTCTAAGAAGATTCTAAGGAAAGCAGAGCAAGTCAGGATCTCAGGCCAGGTTCCCAGTCTGAGGTTAGATCTTACAGTCTTTCCTGCTCCTCGAATCCTTTGAGGGGTCCTCAGGCTGCCCTCTGAACGTCCCCCATTCTCTTGTGCCTTCCAGGAATTCACCATCCCCCAGTTCCGTGGCCAGCAGCGACTCAGGAAGTACAGACGAGATCCAGGATGAGTTCGAGCATGAGGCGGATGTGGAGCCCATGGTCAGCTGATGACTGAGACCCCCTGTGCCTGGTGGTCTTGGTGATGGGGCCCCTGCACCCCCTCCCTCCCCATGGGGCCGAGAAGGCTTCCTGGAATGGGGCTGCAGACCTCACCATGTAGACTTCCTCTGCCTCCCTCTCTGGAGGCCCCGAGGGACCGCTGCTTCCTTCCTTCCTTCCTTCCCTCCTTCCTTCCTTCCACCCCCCACCAACCAGTGCCCCTTCTCCATCTACCCACCCACCCACGGAATGGTGCTGTCAATTTCTATTGTTCTCCACGTTACAAATGCAGACTTCTGTCCGGACGAGGCAGTGTTAACTGTGCCTTTTCCCTGAAGCTGAGCCACTTTGAGCTCCAAAGAATTACTCCTAGCAGGTGTTTTTATACAAAACTCTAGGGTGAGGGCGGGGCCCCCCTGGCATGGTATACTTGCGGTCTTCTACCCTCCCACCTGCTCCTCTGACTGGCCATGAGCTATGCCGTCCCCTCCTCTTCCTGCCACCGCTGACCGAGCTGGGCTTGGGGTGGTCCACTGCGCCCCCAGGAAGGAGCTGCTTGCCTTTGCAACCTTGCCAGGCCTGGGTGGGGGCCTCCCAAGTGTTTTTCTTATCAAAAGAGGGAAAAGGTGGAAGGAGGTAGGGAAAACAAATTTTTCTTTTCTTTTTGGATCAAATGGCAAAGCGGAGGGACAAGGCACTGTGGGGGAAAGCGGAGCCTCACTGTGTTTAAACTACTATGCAAAAAACAAAACAAACAAAAAGCAGCTTGCCTTATCGTTGTGGAAGGAAGGCCCTTCTCCCAGACTCCTGGCTGCCGGTGGAGCTGAGAGGGAGGCTGAGGCTAAGGTGATCTCTCTTGCAGCCTCTGAGGGTGCGCACTGACTGGAGAGGGCATCCTGTCCTGGTCGGTGGTGAGGCCTGGGTCCTGCAAGGCCCTCGGCCCGCCTGACCGCTTGCGTTCTTGGGACCTCTGTGGGTTGGGGGGTGGGGGGTCTTTTATTGCCCTGACGACTTGATGTTTCTCGCCCCCTTTCCAGCCAACAATAAGAGGTTATAGATCTGTAATTTCTCTGTGAGAAAGTCTGGAGGGGGCCGGGCCTGGTGTGGAGCTGGGTTAGTTCTGCCTGCTGCCATCTTGGTTCTCCACTGCCCCGCCGCCCGTTTGGCCCCTGGCGGGCATTGGAAAGGGAAGAGGAGGGGAGCCGCAAGGGCTGCTGGCAGGTTGGAGGCGGTGGGAGCAGAGCTGGAGTGAGAATCAGCCTTGTTCTGCTCGTGGACATATGCAAACCTCTTCCTATAATTCACGTGATTGACCGACCAGCCGGGGAGTTAATCTGAGCCAGTACCTCCCCAAGACTTCAGTGGACCCCTGTTGAAGGGCACCCCGTTGAGGCCACCCGCCAAATCTCAGCTTGGAGTCAGACCAGCGGGCTTTGATTATTTTGGTGTTGTTTTGTTCGTACCCACTACTGTGGGTGCCATGCTTTGTTTTTGTTGGTCCAGAAGCGCCCCTGGAGGTCAGAGAGGCAAAATGTGCCCAAGAATCAGAACTTAACCACCTGGGGTCTGTGTCTGGAGGAGGGGCTCTAGCTTCCAGTGAGTGGGTGGCCCTGTCTTTCCTCTTTGGGGTGCCAGTGACCTGTAAGGGCTTCTCTCTCTTCCATTTCCCCCACTTGTTTTGTTGACATGAAACCATTGTACATAATACTTATCCAGTATATGTATATATATGGAGAGAGAGAGAGAGAGGGAGAGTGTGTTAGTGACGGTATGTAATTTTTTATTTATCAGAAGTTGATGGCCTTTATGAGTTTTTCCTTTTTGTTGTTATTGTTGGGGGAACTTCCTACTGGTTCCCTGTGGCCGTCTGGCTGAGAGGCCTCCGTCCCCAGCGTCTCTTACTAGCCAAGCAGTCCTGTGGTAGGTACGTGGAGGGACATGGTTTCGGAGGAGAGACCGCCTTTCCCCCTCCTCCTTACCGACTCTTGTTCTAAGGGTTACAGGGTTCAAACATACCTGATTATTATTGTCATTATTGTTATTGTTTTAGTTTTAGTTTTATTTTAACCAAAGGTTATCAGAGCCAGTAGGCTTGGACCTCAGCTGCTTAAAAGATTTTCCGTTTGCAGGACGGCCCCATGGGCCTCCTCTGTCCAGGGCTGCGGGAGGCATCGAATGGTGCAGTTTGGGAGGCAGAGTGGAACCCAGCCCTAGGTTGTTCTAAGGTGGTGGGAGGGTGATAGACCGAAATTTAGGGTTAAGACAGTAAGGCAACAGTGTATTTGCAGGTAACCAAGGTGACCGTGGCAGTTGGTGTCCAGTGGTATTATTTTTGCTCTCCCCCTCTTATACATAGGACATTATCTTTGGGGACTGGGGTCCTCTGAACTTGTCCATGGAGTATGTAAATGGCAGGAGCCAAGACAGAGGCTGGCTAAAAGCTCCTTCCTGCTGGTTTTTAATAGCTGTTCTCCCCTGGGGAGCAAGGATTTGGGGCAGGTGGTGGGGCGGGGGGTCTGAGGGGACAGCAAGGGAATGACCCACCTGCTTTCTGAGCAGAGTCCTGGGTCCTGGTCTGGCTGCCCCTGTCCCCACCAAGTTCTTTTGTGAGTCAAAAGAACTTGTCCCCTCGCCATGAGCCCACAGCTTGCCAAGAAAGACCCCAACACTCGCTGGGGCAGCACCAGTCGGGATGAACTGGTCCATCCTCTGTAAAGCTGTAAATACTTAATTTCCTATTTCTAAGCCCAGTGTCATATTGACATTGGTATTTTAGAATTGTTCTCAGATGGGCTCTCCTGTGCTGCCCTCTCTCACTCTCCTATTTTTGGGGGTTTTATAAGAAGAGGATTGGGGAGGGGCAAGGAGAGCAGCTTCCTTTTGGCTCCCTGGTTGTGGGACACACGCACACATGTACACGCACACACTCACACCATCACTCACTCACTCCTCTGAGACTCTGAACTGGGAAAAAAGCCCTTGGCAAGTAAATGCATTTTATTTTCCTGTGGGAATATGTCTTGAGGTCTCTGAAGGGCCAGACCCAATGGACTTAGCTCTGGGGGTGGAGCTCAGATGACCTACGGACAATCAAACCACTACGGCTTGGGATGGGGGGAGAGGGCCATGGGTAGGGGTACTATAAGGTGTAACTTAAGCTAAATGTAATCTATTTATAAAGCAAGAGACTCTCATCTATTTTTATGAAAGGAAAGGTTTTGTACTCTAGGGTAGGCAGTGGTGGGAACCCAGCGTTTTCCTGTGGACAAGATGCATGTTGCTCCTGGATTTCATATATCAGTGCACCTCCCCGTCGCTCCCTGGCCGCCCTGCCCGCTCATCCTCACCCCTGAGCGGCTTCAGCAGAGTGTGCAACCCACCCATCCCCATCCCTGTTCCCCGACCCCCCAGCTTGGTCCTTGGAAGTCTTGGAGGGGTGCTTGTGGGAGCAGGTGGGCAGCAGGGAATTCTGAATTGGGTGGGTGGGGGGAGGAGATGGGGGCACTCAGGACAGGACAAGCTGTACGTCGGAGGGTGGGTTCTGATTGTTCCTCGAACTCTGGTTTGCTGAGATCCATTCAAGTCAGCTGTGTCTGGGAGAGAACTGAGAAACAGCAGCATGTGGGTGGCTATGAACCACTGGTTCAGGAGGCACATGGCTTGCTTGGAGGTTGGGTCCTACCGGATCCCAGGTTGTCGGGCAGCTGGAGCAAGACTGGAAGTGCCCAGAGGTGCCATAGCCCAGCCCTGGCGGTGCCTACTCCAGGCCGAGGCCTGGGCTGCTGGCTGTGATGTGCCCCTCCAGGGCCCTGGATGAGGAACTGGGGTACTGGGGGCTTCCACAGACCTGGGTCCCCCTCCCTGAGACACCAAGCTCTGGTTCTGGAGCGGGGAGTCTGGAGGCAGCCAGGTGGGTGTAAATAAAGGCAAATTCTCTCTGGAAGGGAATTTCCCATGGGTGGAAGGTTTCTGGGCTCAAGGTGGATTGTGTGTAGGTCTTGGGAAAATCCCTTACCATTCCTGCTGTCAAGCCCTCAAAGAAATGAAGCAAAGGCACCCTGCCCCCCAAGACCCCTTTGTGGACATTTTAGCACTGACCTGATTTTTAGCCCCATCCAGAGAGACTTTCTATCGCGTGCCCCATCCCACCCCACTGTTGCTGTCTGTCTGCCAGCTGGGTCTAATGTAAAGGGAAAGGGTTCGGGGTGGGGGGATGTTTCTACTCATTGAAAGACTACTGATCCTACCGGAAACCAACCTGTTTACTGTACTGTTGTAAATATCATGCCCTTTATATCCTGTATATTGGCTTCTTTTAAATAAAGTGAAATGTCTTAGAATTGATGGTGCTTTTTTTTTAATTGAGGGTAGCGTTGGCGAAGGAACAGGGGGACTGAGGGACACACACTAAAGAAGAGTAGCCAGTTAGTGACAAAGTAGGGAAATTTCATACCACCTGTTATATTTGCATCTCACAATAAAATCTTTGGAAGTAGTTAAAGCAGGATTTATTATCACATGCTACAGAAGGGGAACTGAGGGCCTGAGAAATCACAGGCTGAATAGTTGGCATGGCCTGGTTTGGAGTTGAGGTCCTGTTAATCATAAAGCCCAAATTCCTGTAACCACCTCACAGTGCCCGTAAGAGGCCACCTTCCAGGACTCTGGGTTTGACACTCTCCAGTGTTCTCGTTTCCTTCTTGTAAATGGCCAAATTCAGGGAGGCATCGCCCCATGCATGCTGCCCCCTCCCCACCAGGGATTATTTCAAGGATGAAGAGAAGCAGCCAGTACCAATTCTGATTTGTCTTTTATCATCTCTAACCCTTGCACTTAATGTAGTTTGCTTTTCCCATCCCCCTCTCTGTTTAAATTCCCCGAAGTATCTTAAAGGGAGTGACTTTGTAGACCAAGAGAACATGAAATAATGGAGGCATTCTAAGGTATGTGAAATAAACTGAATTTCTGTGGTTCCTCATGGTGGTCCCACAGGCAAAGGGCCATGCAAACTGCTGGGGCCCAAGTCAACCAGTCCAGCTGCTGTGCTGTGCAGATGCCTGGTACCCTTTCGTGTCTGTGTCACAAGAGTCACTGCCCTGCACCCCTCACCCATCACCAGAGAAAAACCAGCCTGGAATGCTCAAAAGAAGAAAACCTGGCTTGGTTCTTGTGTCCCCGGCAGAATCCTTAAGGAGAAAAATTAGCAATCTTAAACTAATAGATGGCATAAGAGTTTTCATTGTCTTTTCCTTTAGCACATGGCCCTGAGGTACTGATTGACATAACCTTTTCCCTGCACCCACCCCCTATTGTAAAAAAGTATTTAAGATGTGCTCAAAGGGGCTGTGGAGCAGTTAATCGGAACGTGCGGATTGGCTGGTCTTGGGCCATGGTCCTCCAGTAAGTCACTGAAAAAACATTTTCCTTAAGTACAATGGTCATGTTGATTTCAGTCAGCAGTTCTTGGCAGCCCCACGTGGATGCAGAACACACTGTCTGAGACCACCTGGAACAACTGGTGGACCCGGAGCCGGGTACTGGCAAGGGACCCTTGAGCCCAGCCGGTTCCCAAGTTCCAGCTGAGGCTGTGAGTCTTCCCTGGGCTTCTGACCTCCGCTTTTTTTGGCTGACAGTCCTGAGTTTATTTAGTAGTTGTTTTCACTCTCCTGAGTGGTCGCCTGTCATAAGTAACGGGGAAGGGAATTCCAGAGACCCGGTTGAAAGATACTGGGGGCAAAGTCTCAGTTGAAAGACCCTGGGAAGAAAAATCAAAAACAAAAAGCAAAAACTAGTGGAGGGAAAAACTGGTCTGTGCTTTCCCATCTCGATTTAGGTCTATTAAGCAAGTTCAGTGAGATAAACCCAAATTTGAATGAGTGACAGGGCTCACTGATGCCCAAGATAAAGGAACCCCAGCTCCAATCAGAGGTCTAATCCTCACGCCTGCAGTGGTGCCATAGGGAAGTCCCTGCACAGCAAAGTAACTGGCTCATGCGGGGAACCATGATCCAAGGATTGATCACCCAGTGCTCCAAGCCCCACGGTCATTTTAGACTGGCAGGGAGAAACCAAGACATCAAAGAGAGAGTTTCACGGGGAGTGCCGCTTGCACACCAGCACACTGACCCATGATACCTAAACCCTTGTTTTGTTTCACAGAACCAGATTGGGAAACCAGACTTCTAAACCAAAATCTCAGGGCACTAAGCAACCAGCCCCCTGCTAGTTCTGCAGCATTGACTTGCAAGTGACCCCGAAAGTGGGAGAATTTTACTAAAGGAGATCTCATTCTGAAATGGCCAAAATGGGGCACTTCCAATTTGCCCAAGCTCATGTTTTTTCGTGTATGCAACCAGAAAAGCCACCGTCTACAAGGATGCCTGTCTTGATTGGTTTATTTGGAAGAATCCAAAAGGGAAAATCATCTTTAAATTCTGAAGAGTCAAGCACACTGCATTCCGGTACTAAATGCGATGGTTCAGGAAGCTGCAAATATCTAGCAAAAACAGCAACATCTTACTATGTTTGTTGTGTTCTGAGAGCTTTGCTTAGTAACTGTCAGGCTGGAGACCCTGTGATAAGACAGATGTGTGAGTTACTTGCATCCAGGTACGGCTGGACAGAAATGTGCATTACGTTATGTGCAGCTAAGGTCTTACCAAACTGTTGCCAGTCCTCAGGGGAATTACAACCTAGAATAACCACGGCCATTATGAGGCATGTTCCAATTAGATAAAACCCTATAAGAAGTGCCCTTAAAAACCGTCTTAAAAATTCCAGAAGAGCTTAATTGAAGGCTTCATTGCAAAAGCTAATGAGAAATTAAAGATCACTGGGGTACCTAAAACTGTTAAAACTGGGGTAAAATCCAACTGCTACATTGTTTCCCTTCAACAGCTTAAGGGAAACTCTGATGGTTACCAGGGAGGCCTGTAGAGGATCCCAGAAAAAAATGGCAGAAGCCTGTAAGGGTGAAACTTAAAAAGAAACAGCTCTCAGGCATCCTCAGTAACATCCAGCCGAGAGAGGGAGATAAAATTTCACATTGTCTCTCCCTTTCCAAATCTAGCCCCATTGTCATTGCCACTGCCTCTTTTGGGATAGCTGTTGCCTTCTGGCTTTTCCTGCTTCTCCGGTTTTATGCTCTAAAAACTGGGATTGGCTCTCTGCCTGCCTGGGACATGGAGGTCACTGGTTCTGTATTTTAGCTGTCTTTGCAAGTGGCTGTGGATCTTGGAAAGGCTTTGCACCTGTTTTGCCCACTGGGCAATTTAAAATGTCTGGGAGCCATATGGACAGGTGGGACAAGTGAGGTAGGTACTTTTTGCAGCCTTATTAATATTTCCCCACCAATATTGGTTCATGAATGCTATCATTTTGTCAGTAGACCAATGGTTTAATGCATGTACGACAGTCAGTTATGGGATTTTCAAAATTTCTGATAGGGCCGGATGATTGTTATTTGGTCTAAACCAGAGTTCTCTTTTTTTTCATCCAACCAAAATTAGATTTCCAATATTATTTTTCCTCTCTGGGGCCATTTGTTGGGTATCTCTTATTAATTTCCCAGATTATCATTGGGGAGAACATCGCTTCAGAGCATGACAGACGTTTGTCTATTGGCTTCTTTAAAAGCAGCATTTTTGGTGGAAATTCAGCATGGTGGCTTCTTTTGGTGTCCAGGGAGTTGGGTCTAGAGTGCTCAGAAACCTTATAGCCAGAGCCGCCAACAGGAGTATGGCATCAAATAAATCTTGGACATAGGAGCCATTTTTAATTTCATCCCCATTGGAGGTTAGGAAACCTCATTGTTTCCATGATATTCCAAAGGATTGAGCCACCCCAAAGGCATACCAACCATTACTATAAATGCTCATGGTTTTCCCCTTGTCCAAGGTACAAACATGATGTAAGGGCAATAAAACTCAGCTTATTGGGCCAAAATAGCCAAAAGTAAAGGTATGGTCTCAGTGACTTCAAAAGTAGTTGCAATACCATACAGAACCATCTCTATCCTTTAAATAAGAACCATCAGTGAAGAATGAAAAATCTGCATGGATTAGAGGAGTTTTCAATAAACTGTCACAGGGAGTCAAAAGGTGATCTGTCAGCATTAAGTATGTGTGAGGGTTTTCATACAGACCCAACTGTGGTCCTATTAGGAGATCAGAGGCCCTAAGTAGGGGATCTGAGTTTGAGCAAATTGCAATTTTTCTTTGGAGGCTTTATGTCCCTTAAAGAACAAAATTTTTAGCAGGTGGATAAGTGCTGTCTTCCTATGAAGAAGTTTGAGAAAGGTAGCAGAGAAGCAAGTCATCCAGGTACTGTAACAAAGTAGAGCCTGCAGAAGACTATGTCATCCAAATCAGCTTTTAAGGTTTGTGAAAAGTAAGAAGTTTCTGTGAAACCTGGGCATTACTGTCCAGGGGTAGTTCCGGTCTTCCCAAGTGAAAGCAAAAAGATATTGGCTATCTTACCAATTGGAATACTACACATGCGCTTCATAGATCACTAACAGTGAAAATTTTGCTTTGAGTGAGGATGGATGTCAGCAGCTTACAGGGGTTCAGAACAACAGGGTGCCGAGGGGTAACAATGTTACTTATTGCCTAGAGGTCCTACACTTACCTCCATCTGCAGCCACTGGGCTTTCTCACAGGCAAAATGGGAATCTTACACAGACTAGTGCAGGGATGAAACCCTGAGTTTTATAATCTTTTATTCTTGGCTTAATGCCTTGAAGGGCTTCTTTCTTTATAGAGTATTGATTAATTTTGGGGAGAGGTTTTGAGGGATCTATATGAATCTTGATGGAAGGTGCATTGTGAATTCTGCCAATATCAGTTGAAGATTTTGGCCATAAGGAGGATATTAGCTGATATAGCAGCACATAAACAATGTCATCAGACTCAGCTATAATGTCATCAAATATTGAGCAAATAGGAGATGTTTAAGGGGGGTTTAGTTCCCTTGGTTGGCTATTTTGATTACTATTATTAAATTCTAGAATTATTTTCCCTCTCTTGGAAGAAAGAAATTCCTGCATGATACATATATTTTAAAGAATACTCAGCCCAATAAATAAATAGGGGAGAGGAACTAATGAGAAAAGGGTTTGTAGCTCTCAAGGGACTACATAAAAGGGAATAGGTTCAGAGACAGGAGGCTGTTGAAGTTTATTTGAGATCTCCACTATTTGAACTGCTGTAGTACTCTGAGGCAGGGGCCACTTTATAACAGTGGAGTTAAGCATGGAAAATGCAGCTCTAGTGTCAATAAAGACAGAGAGCGATTCATTCTCAGTCTGGAGTGGTTCCTCTGAGCCAATTGAGAAGTAGGA